ATATATATATATGAGAAGATAAGGCGATCTCGGGAACTATTGTTTCCTCGTCTTGACATTTTAAAAGCGTACAGGCTTCCGTTATCAGAGGTGGTAATTGTACCGCGCCTTACAGTATTTATAGGTTGGCAGTTATAGTCAATATGGGCTTAACCAATACAGAGGAGGGGGGAGGAGGGGGTTAGACGGGATGCTCAAGCATCGTGCCCTGTGAGGCGTAATAACCTCAGTCAAGGGGTCTTTCGTCGGCTTCCGATGTTCGCGCTTGTGCAGCTGTCATGGACCGAAGGTGTCTTCCCAGGCCGGGAATCCTGCTTGCGCTCCTACGTCCATACGGTTTCACACTTACAGGCTGACCGGATGAGCTGGCTGAGCTGATGATTGCTACTTCCGGTTGTGGTTCAGGTACGTGTGTGTCCATCATCGGCTCGCGAGTAGGCAGATTCGCATTCCGTCTATGTTCTCTTTTGCTCTTTTCTATATAATTATATATCTACTATACGTAATTCAGTAGGCGTAGTTATGCTTATTACTACAGTCCAAGACTCGGGAATATTTAGCTTCCGATTCAACCCGAACGCAAGAGGAGAGCAAACAACTTTCATCTGTCGTATCAACTTTTGAGCCGAAGAGACAATATTATTCAAAATTCTAGTCGCCAATTAAAGAAACCGCACAGGATGAGCCTTCAATCAGGCACTTCCCCGACACAACGTAGCATTCTGTGCTGCGGTTGCACACTACTGCTTTAACCAGTCAGTCTTAAGACCCATCGACGCTTCAGAAGGGCAGTGAACGTAATAACTTACTTTACATGAGCGTGTGAAGTAATGGTGACGAGGACCGCTGCCTCCACCATCGACATCATCATCACCACCGTCATCCTCTCCGCTCAGTCGGGAAGAATCAGCCGGCAACGGGATCTCCAAGCTAGTTTCCGCCTCTGCCTGCTCCTCCTCCTCCTCACTCCCTGCGGAGAGGAGACCGACATCAGGCTCATCAGGCAAGCGGTCGTACAGTCTGTCCAGCTGTAGAATTTCCATATCCGCGGCAGTCGGCTGGTAGTCGGAATCGTATTGATCAGCAGCAGCAGCAGTAGCGGCAGGAGCATTGGCGGTGTTCGAGTCACCAGCGGCAGCAGCAACATCATCATCGTCATCGGGAAATACCATATCTTGAAGGGTGCATCGGGTCTTGCCGCCTCTGGATGGTTTAGCCTTTCCCGTATCCTTGGAGCGAATTTGTTTCGCCACTGACCTGCCGCCAAAGCAAAACGGAAGAAAAAATGGTTAAAAGTGAAAGACCAAAACATACATGGTCGTACTACTGAATTGCACATCAATTGTGGGTAAAGATTCTTATAATGGAACCATTTGTAGTTTACTACACACAACTACCTACTTATTTCATTATAGTACGCCTTCTTTGTTTCATTATTTCATATAATCGTGAATAGCAGTGCTTCCATACATTACGTGCCTACGGCTTTTCTTTTGCAGTTACACTGGTGCAGTTACATTTACCTTGTTCTCTTGTCCAAAGCCTACAGTGTGGGTTCGGTTATTTACGAGACTAGATCTGTTCAGAAGTATAAGATGCGATCGCGAGGACAAGGAATTTATTTGCTTAACTTTTGGGATTCTGTCGAGAACTCGTCATCAAAGGTAACCGTAGAGGCCGCTACGAACTATAAATATTGCGCAATCTGTGCATATATCACCGACATCTGTGCATATATCACACTATTCTACGGTTAGCCCTGATGAAGCGTTCTCGACAGAATCCGAAACGCCAGACAAATAAACTTCTTGGTCCAGCGATCGCATCTTCTACTTCCGAACTGCTTCCTGGAACTCGCCTATTCGTTTCTATGGGCAGCTAGATCTGTTAAGCGTGCAATACATATTCCAGTACCT